GGGGGGGGGGGGGGGGGGTTGTGTAGAAAGGTCAGGGAACTGGGGAGCTGGATTGTGGGGCCTCTGAGGGATGGGTTACAGGGGTGCCTGGAGAAATGGCATAAACACCACCCAACCTGCGCAGACTTTGGGAGCTCCCCACTAAGCATGGTGTAGGGGCCCTGGGGCCACCAAGTGCCCCCCTGGCTTGGGCTCCGGGAAGCTGTCGTGGTGATTTGTGTGTCTTCTTCTCAGGATGGCCTGAGCCTCGTGGAACTGTGACTAGCCCGAGGGACAGGGGGAGGCTCCTGGTAAATGACCAACATTAGAGTTCCTGCCAACCCTGGCAGTGAGTGGAGGGGACTCCGACTAGATTTCATGTGATTTATCAAAATAAAGAAATGCACATTTCTCATGCCCTGAGCGTCATGATGTAATATGGGATTACAAATTGGGATACGTGTGAGGTAAAAAGGGGATGGCCATAGAGAAAGAGGGCAGATTCCCTATTTATTTAGCAGGTCGAGTGGACAGGTCTTAATGGTGGATTGGAAGTGGAAGGTTGGAAATTGGTGCAAAAAACCCTGAAGATTTCCACGTTTCTGACTGAGACGTGGGTCTATTGGGGTCCATTCCCCATCCCCTTCCTCTAGATGACCAGTTCTGGCGTGATAAAGACTACCGATGGTACAGCCTCAGCAACCTGGTCCATGTAGCCTACAGCCCATCTGCCAGTCATCCCCTTCCTGCTCCTGCCTGGGGGATGGTGTGGCACGAAGCAGGTATTAAAGAGGGGATTCACTTCCCGGTAGGAGTAAAATCCTGGCCTGTCCCAGGATTAGCCACGTGGGGCTCCAGAAAGGCCTCGGCCCACTCCCTAGAGGGTATCCAAGACTGGCCAGGGCGGGGTCTGTGCTCACTGGCCTCAAGGTCCCCGAGGGTCCCTCCTCCCATCCGCGCCCCAGCATGTCCCGCCCGCTGGCCAGGCTGCAGGGGACACGTGGAAGGCAGCGAGCTGGGGCCAGGGCTCAGTGATTCTCATCCCAGGGCAGGGTGGGATCCTGGCTGGTAGGTTCCCAGCTGGGCTGGGGGATCCTACGGCTGAGTTTGGGCATCCTCGGGCCTGAGTCTCGGATCCATCCGGGCTCAGACGCAGGCCGCCCTGGGTTTGGCCCTGGACCGGAACCAGAGACTCCCCTTGCAGAGAGCACCCAACCATCCCTATCCCTCCTGGCCCCCTCAGCCAGGCCCTTGGGGGCCGTGGTGTCAGTGCCGGCAGAGTGGCAGGCAGCGGGGTCCTTCGTCTGGATTGGAGGTGCAGCAGCAGGAGGGAGAAGGGGGGCTGGAGGTGCTGGGGGAGGGCGGGGAGGGGAAATGGCTGCAGCTGGGAAGGACCAGGCCTGGAATGAAGTCTGCTTCTGAGAAGGGCCGCGAGATTCCAGTTCATTTCCCGCCTCTCCCCGCCTCAGCCCTGGATGGGAGGCCTTGGCCATCACCTCCCTCACTGGGCCCTCTTCCCATGCAGAGCTGGAGGTGCCCTGGGCTGGAGGGTTTCTGCCTCAGGATCTCCAGTCGGAGGGGTTTGCAAGGGAGGAAACTGAGGTGGCTGGTGCTGGGCTGGGGCCCAGGTCCACCAGCTCGAAAGCCGAAGCTGCCAGACCCGGCAGCCGCTGCTGTGTCCCCATCTGCACTATCTCTCGGCCTTTGACACTCTGCGTCACGGGCCTGGCACCAAAGGCCCCTGGGGTCTTCTTACAGCTTTGGGCCAGCCTTCTCAGCGTCCTCTGTGCACCTCTCATCCTCCCTTTTGAAAGTCTCCAGAGCTTTGAACTGGGCCCCCTTCTCTTCCATTGTGACACTGTCACTGGGAGAGCTCAGCCTCCCCCCATGTGGGGCTCACTCTCAGGCAGCTATTCCTTCAGAGATGGAGCCCTGGTAGCCAGGGGCCTCCTGGACATCTGCTCCTGGATGTTCTGCACCTCAGAGATGGTGCTGTCATTGGCCTGGCCCCGAGTGGAGTGAGGAGGTAGGCTTGGGGCCAAAAAACTGACTCTTCGGAAGTCATCAGCACTTCCTGTGATGGTTTCTAACAACCAAGCTGAGCTACCTTAAAAGGAGCCGTTTAAAAACTGTTGTATGGGGGGCACCTGGGTGGCTCAGCCGGTTGAGCATCCGACCTCGGCCGAGGTCATGATCTCGAAGTTCTTGGGTTTGAGCCCTTGTCGGGCTCTGGGCTGACAGCTCGGAGCCCGGAGCCTGCTT